CGTTATAAAAACATTGGTAATGTGCATCGCCCTCTCCCTAGCATTGTACATGCCAAGTCATATGCCTTATTCCAACATGACTCAGAATTAAAAATGAAGGCCATGCTTCCCAATAGGGATCGCTCAGTGCTCCAACCTTTGCCGTTGATTCAATATGAAGTAACAATACAGAAAAATGTTGGCTCCAGCTTATATGTTCAGGAATGGACAGAGTTCTATGTCATGGTGATTTATGGTCAACGAACATACTTTGGAAGCAAAGTGGCGACAAGCTCTGCTTGGCTGCTCTTGTGGATTACCAGGTAGAGAAGCTTTTGAGAGGTCCAACTACTCATGCAAAAGGGGTTCAGCTCGTGCTCCTCCTCCCTTAGTTACGAACGTTCTTCCTGATTAAATGGCCACTTTCAAGAGCAACTGCTTCAGATTGCTCATTTCGGATGTTCTGCAACCGATCTAGTACGGTTATTCTCTTCATGTCTCAGCGGTAGAGACAGGAGAGAACATTGGGAGGAACTACTGGACGACTACTACGAGTATCTTAAAGAGGAAACAGGCGGCATAGAAGTGTCCTACAATCTCGATCAGGTCGGTTTTCGATTTGGCTTAGTTTCCCTTTTTCAGTACGGTTTTAATGACGCAAGCAAGTCTTGCTTGCTTGCCTCATTAAAGCCTAAGTATGGAACACTTCTGTATGTCCTCTTACCAAGGACTGACTTCAACTCTGTACAGCGTGCACGAGGCCACTTTTCCATAAGCAGCAACCGTGTAGCTGTGCTCACAAGCCGTCACTGCGTTTACAACAATCTTGAGCTGCCTGAATCTCGTTTGGGAGATCCCGCTTACAATCCATACTTTGCAATTCATCATTCAAGGCTTTATCCTTTCACCTAGATTTGAAGTACCAATACCAATTTGATGTAGCTACTCCATGCGTCGATCTCTTGGAGAAATTGAAAGCTCAATCCCACCGGCGCAAACTGTACGACATACATTGTCGGCGACCAAACCATTCTCTCTTCCTCGAATTCACGTGGCCCGCACTCCTCTTCACAGCCTGAACGGACCAGTAAGTAAAGTACAATGACTGAACTCCTCCTCTTACCGGTCAGCGTTGCAAGGACTGGTTGCGCGGAACTGGAAAATTGTCATGGCTAGTGAGATGTAACACACTCGTCACCCTAATGAGAGGGCTGAGCTTGCGCAAGGATGGTGGACCAATCTAATTTTTTTTTTGTGGGAATTCCTATCATATATCTCTGTCAAACCAGCTACAGCAAAGCGTGGGGTTAGCTGGTCCGTCCTACACCCCACGCCAAGCACACTAGATATATTTATCGATGTCCCAGCTCTATAAGTTCATATCTCGTATTTGTATACAGTCTGTCGTCTATCCTATACCTGTATCTCACAATCGGTCGCAATTCCTGTAACTATCCCTCGACTGCGTGATCTTCTGAGCTAAGTCTATTGCCTATATATTCTTCCTATCTTCTATCTATATGTAGAATGTCGTATGAGATATGATGTGTGAGTGATGAGGTGTTATTGTACTTATTACAATATCTGGGACATCTCCAGACGTAGATTCCGTACGAACCAGGATGTGTCAGTCAGTTTGTGAGTAACACCCCTCTAGATACTGGATTGTCATAGAGATGGGGCTGGGGGACTCGCTTCACCAATGGAAACTATGGCATCGAAGATATGCCGAGGTTTCTGGTTCTCTCGTCACGGCGTCGTCCACTATAGCACCCTACCCAACAATGCCACAGATGTGACGCAGTATACCTGTCTCTTAAAGAATTACTAGAAGGGCGACGTCAGAGGTGAAAGGCTTCCGCGTTCTTCCAGAAACTTGCAGAATTCCGTTGGTTGTCTCTGGACAACGCGGCGGCTCTCTAATCTCATAATCTAGTTCGAAGATACTCAGGCCGTCCTGGACAGGCAGCGCGATCAACGACGTTTCTACGATCCACGCATTTAAGTGCTCCGTGACATCAAGCTCTATCGGCGATACTCACAGCTCTTCCGTCCATATTGGCGAATCTTTCCTGGATCCTGTGATAAACAAGCTGAAGAACGCACAGCGGACCTCGAGGACCGGATCGAGGAACTTGGTGCGAGATTGCGGCGCTCGCCAGCTCTTTGCGCAGGATGGATTGCCTCTCTAACCGAATCCGTTCGGCGAAGGGGTGTGGGTATGCATGGAAGATTCTATCAATGGACCGGTTGAAGCTTCAACCTTCGGTGAATTTTTTTCCATAAGCTCTCCGCAAAAAACGAATGGGCCCCAACGAACTTTCGGGAACACCCTAATCAAAAAAGTCTCGAAGCGCCCTTCTACGAGTGAAACCGGAAAATGTTGCCTACGATTTTCCAGTTTTTCGCGATGATAATTGCCTTTTTCGGTAACGCTCCAGCTTTGCCTCTTGATGAATCATGAAAGTCATCTCAATAGAACAAATATTCCCTCTATCATTTTCAGTATTAGTTCCCATTTTGAACTTTCAAAATTCGTTTACTTGGCCACGATTAGCCAACGCGTTGCACATTTCAGCTGAAGGAAGCGTACCGTCAAATCTTCCCCATCGGTGCCTATGTGATCCTGCAGGCCATAGAACCTCTATACAACATTCATAGCAAGACTCTCGAAAAGGGACACAAAGAGGTAGGGTAACTCGAATATTTTTTCCGTAGTAGTGAGTGACTACGATCCCTTTTCAAACCACACAGAAACAAGCAGTCAAATTCGAACGCTCTATGGACTGAGTACCTCCTCATTCATTTGCAGCCGAGCGCGCGCCGTATATCATCGAGCATATTACACCTGATGGAGTGCTCGCGGTGCATCGGCGAAAACGAGTAAATGACAAAAAGAATCCAAAAAAGCGAAGTAACGTTTATTGAAAGGCAGATTCCTCCATCGTAATTGGCGGAGGAATTTGGTCCATTGCGCTTTCCTTTCTAAAATCGCGTAGTCAACAAGGAAATGCAAATGAGAAGCGCGCACTAACCTCCGTGACTCCGCCCATACGATCGACGGGGGGGGGGAAAGTGCGAGGGCGAATTCTGTGCACTCCTCAGAGAACAACAATTTTTTCAAACTCTAAACCTATTCCAGAGCTTGGAGACTGCCATGGAAAAAATTGAGTGCTTGTTGGATGATATCATACATTATCACGAACGAAATATGGAGTCAAAGAATAGCAGCTCACAGACTAGCCACGAAAATCTCTGAGCCATTTCTCGCTTTGCTGGACGATCTGCATATTACTCGCATTTCGAAGATTTATAGGAGTCTGAACGTCTACTTGCTGCATCTATTTATAACACCCTGCTAGAAATATAGCCTTCTTGAGAATATAGTCGTTTGTCATGTTAATCACGTCTACTGTTTTGTTACTGTTGCCCGCTTTAGGGTCTTTGTTATATTAAGATTTCTATGAACTTATGAGCCCTCAAGGTTGTGTCCTTTGCGCATTTCTTCTCAACTTGGTTTGTATTGCTATGATTTTCGAAGAATGAAGCTCGCAAGGAGAAGAGAAACAAGCGGTGTAGATCAGTCACGTTTTTGCAGTAATCTGCCTTCTGGTAAAAGTCAAGGAAAAAAAAGAGAAAACTGGTAATAACATTTTTGAATGGGCACCGTTCATGTCCCCGTCACTGGGATGGGAACGCCTACGGACATGTTTGTGAGCGCAGCGGAAATTGAGCTGTTCCGGTTCAGCCACGGAAGTAGATAGCGGGTGCAAAAGAGAGGGCACGGGGGCAAGGTCAAACGATCCATCCTCTGCATCTTCACCCTCTGCTTCTGGGGAAAACTTTCGGAAAATACGACCCACTCCTTTAACCAGTAACGAGCAGAAGCGACCCGTTCCCTTGTAGCATCCGTGAAACACGAGACATCAACTGTTAAAAAAATTTCTCAGACCAAATACAGCCCTAATCCCCCCCCCGGACCAACTACCCCCCCCGCTGGGAATTCTCCCGTGGTCTGCTCATCCTTGATTGCCTGAAGTGAGAGCTGTCACCACTCCCACACAGGGTTCAACAATGCATGACCACTATCAGCAGAGCTCCCTTAGAGTCCCAGCCCAGGTGTACTAGACGAGCGTCGTTAGCCCTGCTATTCTAGCCTTATTAAGTCTAACACAAACCTTTCCCCTTACAATTTCACGTCTTCGTCTTGATATTAGTAAGTAAGTACGAAAGTATTAGTATTAGTAAGTAGAGACGCAACGACAAGGAAGGCACTAAGATAGTCCTGGAACGATCAGCGAGTAAAGGCCTTGAGCACGTTCAGAGTAAGGTTTTTGGACTAGCTTATCAGCACCCACGCCTACACCTACAGCGTAATGAGCCGATTAGTCGTACGGCACTGAAATGTGAAAACTGGAAGCTTTGCTTTTTTTCCTGATAATCGTTTTCGTTCGATTTGACCCTCATCACCACGTGGAGCATATCTTTTGTGTAATCAGGCATAACAAAAACACGAGGTTCTCGAGTCTTAAGTGTGGTCAAGCTTTTGCTTATAAACCAGGGTCATCGTAACTTCGCATTACCAACTAAGGTGATGAGCAGCAGCTACTAGTACAGATACCATTTATAAATGAATGAAACAATATAAATAATAAGTGAACAAATGAGTGAGTAAATAAATTAATAACGCTAATCAAATAAAATATAAGAGCGAAAGAGAACGAAGTCTTTGCTGCGGATAAATGTCTTTTTTTGGTGCAGCACGGATTCTATTACTATTCCTGATCGTAGTGCATTTCCTTAAGGATATAGCCTACACAATGACTTGCCAGAGCAGACGATGTACGAGTCAGTGCTCTTTTCCTCCGGAATCTGGTATCAAACTAAGTTAAAGTTTCCCGAAGGAAGGAGGCTCCGATTGTCAGAGGGGGAGGGTAGCCGATCCGGAATTCATCCCTGGACCATCTGGGCAGCGGGTCACGTGCCAATACACCACCTCCGCTTTGAAAAAAGCTGAAATAAAACAAAGTAGCACAGTATTACATAAAAGTAAGTATGTCACCATATGAGACTGAAAAAAGGATTAGATGCGGCCTGGCCGTTCCGCCGATTAGGCGGCACTCACTACGTCACACTCGTTCACCCAACATTGTGCATTGTGCAATAGATCAGCGGTCTTGCGCGTGCAATATTTGATAACGTGAGCATGAAAACGCATCGTGCGCAAGGTGTGAAATTTTCCGGCACTGAGTGGCTCGTTGCTCCTTGTGATCCTGTGTTATCCACGCTTAGCATATCATGTTGCTAGTTGTGTATTTCTTTTATTTACTGCTCAGCCATCATATTTAACATCGGTCCTGTTCGCTCCGATAATTTCAGCGAGGCGATGGGGTTTTGCCAGGAGGGAGGCTCCCACCCCGTTTCCCATCAAGTGCTGGAGCAAGCAAGCGACAAGACTATCATATCCTTCGCATCAGTCGTTTTCCACCAGCTGTTGTCCAACAACGAGTTGTTGGCGGGCTAAACCCAACCTCACCAACACGCCCCATCATCCCGCAACGAACAAGACTGTAACACCTGGAAAAACCAGGGATGTGGTGCGTCGTGGAGGAGTAGCAGCGTACTTCATAATGTCGGCAAGTATAGGTAATTTCCGGTGGGTTACGCTCAAACGCACTCAAATCTTCCAGTTACTGTAATACGCGACATAACACTTTGGCAATACTCTCTTTTCCAAAGAAAAAGACCCGCGCAGTATGCGGGAGCACACGTATTTTTTATTCATGTTCTGCTTGAGGCTTCACCTAGCCTAGAGATCGCTTGTTGCACGTGATTGTGAATAACGACTACTTGTTCTTGAGCCAGTAAATCAAGACCGCACTGTTTTTTTTTTCAGCGAACATTGGACAGTACTTGCTTTTAGCGATAGGCTATTCAATGTTCTTATTACGAATGGCTCACGGCCACGTATGTATACCGTTTCCTGATAAAGCGCATTTGGCGGGCTCAACTAAGGTTTTAAAGAAGACGGGTTGATAAGAGTTGCAGTGGCTCAAAATCTGCATTTAAGTCTGTTAGCAAAGGTTCAGTGACAACTAAATTTAACCGCCTGGGTTAACAAGTCTGCACGCAAAGTGATGTGGGTTGAGCAAAAATGACAAGCAGCCAAGCCAAGCGGAAAGGCAAACATGCTCCTTTCAAGCGAAACACATCGCAACCCCGAGCTACAAAGGCGTTACGTTGGAGTAAAGTTACCAAGGACGCGCGCGTCAGTTGGTAAGGGCTAGGCGGCGAAAGGAATCCGCCTTCCAGCTTTTACCCTTTACGCAGAAGTGACTGGTTCAGAAGTCAGAGAGAAAAACAGCTGTAGTGAGAGAAGCTCGCGCAGGCGCGGAGCGTCGATTAAATCTCGTAAGAACGCACTTTTCGCCTCCTAAAACACGTAAAGGTTTTTCCCTAGAAGGTAAGAACTTCAGCTTTTTTGAATCCGTGTACGGCTCCGCTCACGTTGAAAGTGAAGCGATCTCGGCGTTCACCAGAAAGGTCGACTCGTGTGTTCGTGCAGTAGTTGTTCTCGTTACCTTTGATCGATTGTGCGGCGAGAGCGCGAGGGCGAGTTTGGGCGAGTTCAACGAGTTTTTTTCAGTAGGCCTACAGAAAAGCTGCCCCTCCTATTCATGGAAGTTTTCTTGCCGCTATCTTTTGATGTGTTACCTGCCCAGCTATCATGAATCCCGCCTACCTTGTTGTAATAGATTTTGATAAACAGCTATACCCGCGTCGCAAATGTGTGGATGCCGCAGTAAGTGTGGTGTAGTCACGATAGCTTCCAGTTCGCGCACAAGCCGCATAGCTTCCAGTTCCCACAACACGCAACACATGCATAAGCCAAAAACCTCAGCAGCCAACTTGGGGCCGTGGAAGGAGGTCGTAGAGGAAATCCTTCCCAGAAAGTGGTCATATCGGCCTGGCTATTTCCCGCACTATGGATCCACTTCCCAACTGCACTTCAAACACGAAATGCTAGAGTTTCTTCTGCAGTCTCTCTACGTTAGAAATCGGACTTGTTGGAACGACGAGAACATTTGCGACGAGTACAGCGAAATGTTATCCGCTGATCCTAAAGATTGTGGGGCGAGGACTGACATATAATGGTCGGCAGTCCTTCACACATATTTGCAGAGAAGAGCTTACATCAAAGGAGACTGACCGACTGAGATTAGGGCACAAGTGAAGGATGTCGCTTCTCATTAAATTACGGTAGCGCAGTACACTAGCAACAGGAATTCACAGCAACAGCTGCAAAAACAATCAGTCTAGAGGCAGCGTTCAGACTTCGCGACGGCAGCGCTTCGGTCGCGCGTTCGACGCGATCGATGCGCATGCTTTCGACTGCATTGATCGCGTCGAACGCGCGACTGAAGCGCTGCCGTCGCGAAGTCTGAACGCTGCCTAAGTCAATGTGCGAGTTTGTATGTCGGTTCACTTGGTATACTCGAAATCCCTGAGATCGGGTAGGCGTGGCTGCATGTTTCAACTTAACCTGAAGGTGTCTATGCTTCTGGTGAGATATTTTCATCTTGACACAATGTTGTCGTGTCTCTGTCCAACACAGAACAAGATGACAGTTGTCCCAGACTGGAATATTCCACGAGTAACCAGTTCCGTGCCATGTTCAAATGCCACGCCTACTCTAGCTCAGGGATAAGGAGTGTATGTATGTTGGCATAGCCGTATCAGGTTAGCGAGGTTTGCAGTCATATCTATGCACTGGACTTATGGTTTGTAAGCATGCGCTGGAAAAGGGTAAAACTGCGATCGCTGGAAATTCAAAGACAAGCTGTATACCCACCTCTGTATATTCTGGTCCTTGCCGTGCGTGAGGTGAATGGGTCCACGGCTGCAGTTGCGTTCCGCTTTTTCAGTCAAAAGTGCACAGAAACGGGGCTGGCTATACCGACACCCGGTGCTGACTCCATACTCCTCCTCGAACGGCCAACCAGGCGCCGAGCCATGGCCGAATGCACTGCTTGTCTGCGCTCTCTCACTTCTGATTGTTCTCTACCGCTGAGAACGTTTTTCGTTGCGAGATCTTCGCATCGACACAAGTGCTCTAACTAGAAAATAGCGTGGGCGGAAAGTGGAGACATAACTCAGACACCACTATCGTAAGGGCCGTACCGTGCATTTTGGAGCGGAGAATGTGGCA